GCTCTCATCTTCCCTATGCCTGCATTTTCCTCCACGGTTTTAACTTGGCACTTATTTTTCTCTGCTGTAATGCTTATTCTTTTCTGCCATGGTGCTTATTCCTTTCTGCCATAGTGCTTATTCTTTTCTGCCATGGCACTTATTCTTTTCGGCTACAACAACTCTGACTTAGTTGATTATGTCCTGCATTTCTGAAGTCTGTTAAACCAAGGTACCAGTACTTTAAACTGAGGGCTTACTGTATAAAACCCAGTTCCTCCTACATCCAAAAGAAACACATTATACCCAAATAATACATATTAAGAGAAAATGAGTAAGAATATACAGAGAAACTTCAATGCCTGCCAAATATAGACCAAAAAGAGTACAGCCAGTACAGTATTCTGGGTCACTGAACCATTAAGAATTTATGCTAGTTATAAGGCACTAGGGAGCTAAAACAATTTCACAGAATGCAATGAAGCATTCTGTGCTTGAGATATCCTCGGTACAATATACTGCACTGTGCAATAATTGTGAACGACCAATACAAGATGCAAAATAACCACAGGGGGAGTTGAATGATAGGAGTTTCCCCTGATCGGTTCTGCCTGGGCTTCCTAATCACTTCTGCAACACTGCAAGTTCCTGAAGATGTGTTGATTGCAATGCTAAAGGCCTACAGCTATCATTTAACTCCTCCTGTGGTTATTTTGTATACTGTACTGTGAATATTCAAGTTACAAAATAAAGCACTAAACCTTTACCAGAGAGAAGAGACTATGAAATGAAAATTCATTGCCATTTACAAATTAAATAAGTATTAAGGAAGTTAATTTCATTACATAACTACATTTTCCTCATTTTATAAATTAAGAGTTTTATAGAACTGTAGCTTCAAGCCCATCCTAAATATAAACGCATAAAAAAATTCCCACAATATACTGTACATCGATATCTTTTATGTACTGGAAAATGGTTATGAATTTTATATTAATACAGTATATAGCTGCACACAACACAAGCAGGTTTTTTTTTTAATATTTAAGCTAATTTCCAAGCGAGGGTTATCCAAAGAACACAGTAAGAATCACTCATTCTTGAGAAAGGCAGATAAACATTATCCTCTAAACGGTGACATTCCCAACCTTTAACTCTAACCTTCTTGATGCAGTTCTCCCTAAATGTTGCAGTCTAAGAGGAAGTCTTGCTTTGCTTAAATGACAATTTGTACAAAACAATGAAAATGAAAAGCAAAAGAATAAAATAAGACAGGAAGATGAAGTATTCTAAAGACTTTCACACAGAACATAAAAATATCCTTTTTTGGAAATATATTGTAGTCCCTTTCTACCTCATAATCTCTACCTTTCAAGCAACTTTCCTGTCCTCAACTTCTTCCATTACTGGCCATTAAAGAACATTTTGACTTTGGACAAAGTAACAACTGAAACAGCAACGAACATTTTAACAGTAAATTGATATTAACAATACACGTTAAGACTTAATGATACCTCCTAATAAGCTGTTATGTAAAATAATGTGTACTGTTTTGCTACTGAGCATGCCAAACATTTTAGCTTTAGTAAATTACTGCCATGGTTCATATACCAAGTGATTATGGATGTCACTCAGTTTACTGTGTGTGTAACTGATAGTGTGTATTGATTAACTTACAAACCAAATCTTGAGTTTAAATTTGATCTAATATTTTGACTTCTGGGTCCCAATTACATGGGGGTGAAAATTAGTGGCCACTGATTATTCACTCACCTTCTCTACCCTTCTTCCGGTAATTAAATTTGTATCAAGGGGAGGGAGTGATGAGAGATGGTGAGATGGGGTGAGGTTGAATGGAGAGCAGCAATGGAGCAGAAGTGTAAGGTGGCGAGGTGCGGTAGGCCTGGTCATCGCAGGATGAACAGTTGTCTACGATCAGCTGAACTGGCTTGGGTCCAAGCAAGAGCTTTCTATATGTATATGGCTTGATAAACTGACTGTTTTGATTCCTATTACTGTATTTTTTTGGACAGCTGTTCAGAATGAAGGGAGTGTATTGCTCTTTTGGGCGAATTTTGGGTGGTAGCCGTCCATATTAGACAGATGGTCACGATGTACAGGTCTTTGGTGGTAGTAATAAATGAAGAGGAAAATCCAAAGGACTGCATGAAGGTTGCTGCAGTGGTCGGGTGCACGCAAGGACAGGTTGGACTGTAAATCCAAATAAAATACTTTTTAAAGCATAGATATGTCTCTTTGCCTTCCCAAGTGCCTGAACTTGTTGGAGCAAATTTAAAAACATAATAGGCAAGGATGGGGGGAAAAATAAAAGCAATTTACAGATTGGCTAATTAATTTTAATTTCCAATTATATTCTTAAAACGACTCTAGGTGCTTTGGAAATCTATCGATATAACTGAACAAATTTGCTACTAAATGTACTGTGAAGGGACTTCTCTCTCAAACAGTAAAAAACCTAATAAAAAAAAAGAATAATGTTTAGTGTAGCTTGGCAGTTTACGTAACTTACCGAATGTACTTTTGAACACCTTGCTAATGACCTAGATTGTACCATAGATATTAAACTGAACCATTATATCTAAAAGGAAAACCAAAAATGCAGGAATCAACACATACTGAGAATGAAACTGACTGAGTGGAGTGAACTGTTATGAAGAGAGATGTATAAATATATTTAGTAACATGATGATCCAAACTAAAACATGTTAAATATTTATGCAATTATGACATGGCAGTTTGCAACAAGTGAGCAATATTTTGCACACAATACCTCAATATTTATATTCGATGATTTTTCCCTCATTCGATCCTAACACGTTTCAAAAACGTTCCAACTGCTGGTCTTAATTACAGAAGACCTAATACTTACCAATTAGAATATCTTCTTAAACATTATTCATGTTTCAAGTACCACATGCTGGTACTACAAACAGTGTGAAAAAAGTGACACTTCAACATACAGGAGGGCCCCATTTATGCAGCAGGTTAGGTTCCGGGCTACTGCTGTACAGCGAAAATCGCTGTAAAGTGAATCATAGCCTTTTTTCACTTTCAAGTGCATATAAAAGGCTGATAGCATGTTTACACTATTATGTATTAGGTGAGCAATATAGCCAAGCCTAAAAAATGCATATACAGTACACACATTACTTCGAAAAATGGGTATAATTTAAAACCGCTGTATTAAAAAAACACTGTAAAGCAAAGCGCTGTAAAGTGGGGACTGCCTGTATTTATTCATCAAATTTATGACATGTGGAAAAATTTTCTGAGTGGGAACCAACCTAAATTTTTTTTTTTCAACTTTAGCCATATTCAACACAGGCTGGAGCTGAATAGTAATAATTTTTGGATAAAGATGATCAGCATTTTAATAAAAAAGCACATGTAAAACTGCATTATGAGAGGTCCCGTTCGTACTCCAGTAGACAGTCAAGCACACTCCAAAGCACCATAATTGCCGGAAGTATGGTAAACTACCAATGGGATGTTCTTTGCCAGATTTCACTATTTATTCACCTTATATCTGACAAACCTGTGAGCACTGCTTGCAAGGTGTTCTGGGACACCCAAAACCATAGAATGAATCACACCAGGTATTAAATGGTTTATTGACTCAATATGAACATTCTCTAATAGGGGGCTTGAAAGGTGCATTGTCTGGACTCTTTAATCGATACTTGATTTTTTCTGAAGGGGGTTTCAGTTTCCTGGTCAACGAATAATGTACATCCTGAGATATACATCCCAGAAGGTTTTAGTGGCAATGCCGATGTTACCCCAACAAATGTCAGTCTAGTATTAAACTATTGCTTCTACTCTGAGACATTCCTAAACTTCAATGTGGCATGTGTGTGTGCACATTAGCTTCTAGACCTGTCACTAATAATTTTTCAAGAGGGTTTTAAGTTGGACAAGCCAACTAATACTAGCCCATTCAACCTCTTTTTTTACTATTTACTTTCACTTTTTTTTTTAACACACCAGCCGTCTCCCACCGAGGTAGGGTGATAAAAAAAAAGGGTACCCATTTCACGAACAATCATTCAACTGCTGTCTTGCCAAAGTGTACTGACAAAGTCAAATGAGCCTCTAAACTGTAATATCCCCATCCCTCCCTCAGAGTGCAGGCCCTGTTCTTCCCACCTCCAGGACTCAAATCCAGCTAACTGCTTTCCCTGAATCACTCTCCAACAACACATCCATTAAAAACCACTTGTCTTCACTCATCTGATCTAACACTCGCACAAGCCTGCTTTATGCTCAAGCCCCTAATAATCAAATCCTTCTTTACTCCATCCCTCCAAGCATTCCTCTAGTAACCCCTACCTTTCTCTACTCTCAATTTCAGGTTTATACACCTTTTATCATATTCCTCTCCATCCTCTCTACATGCCCAAACCACCTCAACAAACTCCCACCTCATCCCTCTGAATTATATCCTTGGTGACTCACCACCATCTTCTGATTTCCATGTTCCAAATTCTCTGCATAATATTCCCACCAGATGTAATAGTCAGATAAATCTCTGATCACTGATGTAAAACTACTAAGGAGAATACATGCAGATAAGGACAGGGAAAGGCTGCAAATGGATCTGGACAAACCACAAGGTTGGTTAGATAAGTGGTTGCTCAAGTTCAACCCCAGCAAATGCAAGGGTGTGAAGATTGGGACTAAGGGGAATGAGCTACAAAGGCAGGCTAAACAAACTAACACTGGAGGACAGAAGAAAAGGAAAGATATGACAACATACAAAATACTCAGAGATACTGGCAGACTTGATAACACACACATTTGCTAATGTAATTCCTCTTGATATTGCAGAGTTATTTGTAAATTTTAGTATACTGTACTAGTTACACATTTTCATGGCCTCTATATTAGTAAATAACTACATTCAAAGCAACTACCTTTAATGTTACATTCTTCACTTTGAACACCTAATTAAAACTTTACATACAAGAGCACATGCTGAAAAATATAAGCTCTGTACCCACCTTGGCAGCCACAGTTGCAAGGTGCTTATTATGAAGTCGTTTAGTGAGGAACTGAAGCACAAGAGGAAGTAAATTGGGATGGCAGGCAATCCACTCATTGAGTTCAGCTAGTAACTGCACAGATGTAAATGCAACTTGCAAGTGTATATCATCTGGCTGGCTCAGCAATCCTTCTAAGATGGGTGGGACTACCTCATTCTCCTCTCTGAAATAGAAAAAATACTGTGTATAAACCCCACCATCAAAACTTGTAACTTGGGTCAATATACATGATGACAATGAGATGAGTTTATGGGATATGAATGAACTATAAACCATGGAACAGGTGGGATCTGAACCCATGGCAAGCGAGTCTTAAAACTCCAGGCCAGTGTGTAAGCCACTGGGCCAGCCGGCTACAATAAGATTCATCTAACTCGGTACATTTATACACCATAGGGATATTAGCATGGGCCACCAATGAACACAAATGCAAGCTTATACAGATGAATCTCCTGCCAACTCAACTGTGGCAAAATAAAGTTTTAGAGCATTTTTCCCTTTTGCCAAGTGTTCTAAGAGTATTTCTCAAAGATATGTTTAATAAATGTATGGAAGAGGGTAAGGTACCTAGGGATTGGCAGAGAGCATGCATAGTTCCTTTGTATAAAGGCAAAGGGGATAAAAGAGAGTGCAAAAATTATAGGGGGATAAGTCTGTTGAGTGTACCTGGTAAAGTGTATGGTAGAGTTATAATTGAAAGAATTAAGAGTAAGACGGAGAATAGGATAGCAGATGAACAAGGAGGCTTTAGGAAAGGTAGGGGGTGTGTGGACCAGGTGTTTACAGTGAAACATATAAGTGAACAGTATTTAGATAAGGCTAAAGAGGTCTTTGTGGCATTTATGGATTTGGAAAAGGCGTATGACAGGGTGGATAGGGGGGCAATGTGGCAGATGTTGCAAGTGTATGGTGTAGGAGGTAGGTTACTGAAAGCAGTGAAGAGTTTTTACGAGGATAGTGAGGCTCAAGTTAGAGTATGTAGGAAAGAGGGAAATTTTTTCCCAGTAAAAGTAGGCCTTAGACAAGGATGTGTGATGTCACCGTGGTTGTTTAATATATTTATAGATGGGGTTGTAAGAGAAGTAAATGCGAGGGTCTTGGCAAGAGGCGTGGAGTTAAAAGATAAAGAATCACACACAAAGTGGGAGTTGTCACAGCTGCTCTTTGCTGATGACACTGTGCTCTTGGGAGATTCTGAAGAGAAGTTGCAGAGATTGGTGGATGAATTTGGTAGGGTGTGCAAAAGAAGAAAATTAAAGGTGAATACAGGAAAGAGTAAGGTTATGAGGATAACAAAAAGATTAGGTGATGAAAGATTGAATATCAGATTGGAGGGAGAGAGTATGGAGGAGGTGAACGTATTCAGATATTTGGGAGTGGACGTGTCAGCGGATGGGTCTATGAAAGATGAGGTGAATCATAGAATTGATGAGGGAAAAAGAGTGAGTGGTGCACTTAGGAGTCTGTGGAGACAAAGAACTTTGTCCTTGGAGTCAAAGAGGGGAATGTATGAGAGTATAGTTTTACCAACGCTCTTATATGGGTGTGAAGCGTGGGTGATGAATGTTGCAGCGAGGAGAAGGCTGGAGGCAGTGGAGATGTCATGTCTGAGGGCAATGTGTGGTGTGAATATAATGCAGAGAATTCGTAGTTTGGAAGTTAGGAGGAGGTGCGGGATTACCAAAACTGTTGTCCAGAGGGCTGAGGAAGGGTTGTTGAGGTGGTTCGGACATGTAGAGAGAATGGAGCGAAACAGAATGACTTCAAGAGTGTATCAGTCTGTAGTGGAAGGAAGGCGGGGTAGGGGTCGGCCTAGGAAGGGTTGGAGGGAGGGGGTAAAGGAGGTTTTGTGTGCGAGGGGCTTGGACTTCCAGCAGGCATGCGTGAGCGTGTTTGATAGGAGTGAATGGAGACAAATGGTTTTTAATACTTGACGTGCTGTTGGAGTGTGAGCAAAGTAACATTTATGAAGGGATTCAGGGAAACCGGCAGGCCGGACTTGAGTCCTGGAGATGGGAAGTACAGTGCCTGCACTCTGAAGGAGGGGTGTTAATGTTGCAGTTTAGAAACTGTAGTGTAAAGCACCCTTCTGGCAAGACAGTGATGGAGTGAATGATGGTGAAAGTTTTTTCTTTTTCGGGCCACCCTGCCTTGGTGGGAATCGGCCGGTGTGATAATAAATAAAAAAATAAAATGTTTAAATTAATGGATACTGACATTGAATTTTAATAAAGGTAATCTTATTGCATTTGAATAACTTGGTAGGCAGAACACTGTACCACCTGATCATGATTAATAATGAAATCAATCTTGCTTAGCTGCAAGATTGTGGTTAGGTTCCATCAGGCATAGAGTCATCCATTAAAAATTTAAGATTACAGTAGTTTAATTTTTCCCCAGACCCAAATAGTGACTAGTGTCCATGGTAAAGCCATAACAATTACTGTACTGAAGACTCTTCCCCCCTCCAAACCATTTATCTCGACCAACACACGACTACATATCTCGTAATAACCCAAATGATTGTGTATTTTCAACTATTATTATCGATACCAACTGATTATACTAAAAATATCCTATTTTATAGCAAGTAGGTTTTGTCAAGCAAAATACAGAGCACTCAAGAGCCTAATTTCAAGATGGGAGTGAACCTCCTTTTTTATAAACACTGTACAAGAGAATATAAACTGCACAGTTTTAAAGCATCAATAAATATTCTGACACAGAAAATTCATTTCATATTCATGAAAAATAAATGCACTAAAATTCTAATCTAAGGACTGGATTTATTTTAACATGCTGGTCATTTCCCATTGAGGCAGAATGACCTGATAAAGAAACACTTTCACCATCACTCATATGATCACTGTCTTGCCAGAGGTGTGCAGATACGATAGTTTAGATGTCCCTCTAAACAGCAAATATCCCAAACACCTTTAGAATGCAGGCACTATGCACTTCCCACCTCCAGGACCCAAATTCAGCAAACCGGTTTCCCCAAAATAAAGGCGTCCCACAGAAAGCAACTTACGGTACAAGATTCTTAGCCACGCTCTGCATGATGAATAATGCAGCCTCCATGAGGTTCCAGTTTTTGCTTATATCAGGAGACTGGAGTATGTGTGCCATCTGCTGAAAACACAGCTTCGATCCACAAATAAAGACCACATCTTTTATTAACTCTTGCACTCGCTCCCGGAACTCGTAGAAGTCATCCTGCTGAACCAGTATACTCTCCTGAAAGGAAAACTCCAATAAATTAAAGGAACCAAAGTATTACATTAAACATTAACATGCTGATTAATGTTTCATTTTCACTACCAATCCTACTCGATCCATGAAAAATATTTCACAGAATATGTAGATACATCAAAAATTACTAGCTTCATACAGCTGAAATCCTGAAAGCATCTCCTCTATACTGCTCTCTGATATTTACGAGCAATCTTAACGACAAATTTCAATTACTCACGTGGTCAGGCTCTATCTGGCAGTGGCGATACAGAGCCTCAATTAAGCGTTCGACATAAGGCTTGAACTGTTCGTTAACATTGTCACAGTTTTTTCTGTAAAGTACTTCTGAGAGTTTGTACCAAAAGTTGAAGGTAATTTCTGCAACCTGTAAAGAAGTTATACAATATAATAATAAAGTCATTACATAAAACACCAATATTACTACCACAAATAAATAACAAAAAGGCACAATACCGTGACTGGAACAATACACAAATAACCCGCACATGAAAGAGAGAAGCTAGTGTGACTTTGTCAATGGTCCAAGTCGGACCGAAACGTCGTCGTAAGCTTCTCTCTTTCATGTGCGGGTTATTTGTGTATTACTACCACAACACCATACAGCCAGCAATTATTAAATGGTCAACCTACTGCCTGAGGTTATACTCTTGTTCCTTGATATGACTGACTGTAGTTCATAAAAAGTTATATTTTATGCATCTCAGTATAATACTTTTGCAATTTATTAACCCTAATTAAGACTATGTTGTTTTCCTGAAAAATCATTAACCCATACAAACATAGGTTCCAGGAATCTTAATTTTTTTTTTTTTAACAAGTCGGCCATCTCCCACTGAGGCAGGGTGACCCAAACAAGAAAGAAAATCCCCAAAAGAAAATACAGTGGACCCCCGCTTAACGATCACCTCCAAATGCGACCAATTATGTAAGTGTATTTATGTAAGTGCGTTTGTACGTGTATGTTTGGGGGTCTGAAATGGACTAATCTACTTCACAATATTCCTTATGGGAAAAAATTCGGTCAGTACTGGCACCTGAACATACTACTGGAATGAAAAAAGTTCGTTAACCGGGGGTCCACTGTACTTTCATCATCATTCAACACTTTCACCTCACTTACACATAATCACTGTTTTTGCAGAGGTGCTCAGAACACAATAGTTTAGAAGCATATACATATAAAGATACACAAACATATCCCTCCAAACTGCCAATATCCCAAACCCCTCCTTTAGAGTGCAGGCATTGTACTTCTCATTTCCAGGACTCAAGTCCGGCTATATAAAAATAACCGGTTTCCCTGAATCCCTTCACTAAATATTACCCTGCTCACATTCCAACAGCTCGTCAGGTCCCAAATACCATTCGTCTCCATTCACTCCTATCTAACACGCTCATGCACGCTTGCTGAAGTCCAAGCCTCTCGCCCACAAAACCTCCTTTACCCCCTCCCGCCAACCTTTTCAAGGAGGACCCCTACCCTGCCTTCCTTCCCCTAGAATTAATATTAAAAATTAACGATATTAAAAATTATTTAGCCTGTGTGATACAGTAATATTCAGTACATTGTATCTCACATTCCTGCAATCCTCACTTAATACAGATGAATATCGTACACAGAGGGTGGTGTATGAACCTACTGTGTCTCAGGAAAGTGGCTGTGACTCGCAAAATCGTAACAACACTTTTGCGAACAATCCTGGAATTTTACGACTCGCTCGCAGCGAGTTCAAACCCCACCCGTACTTTGGTTAAGATGGCCATGGTTGCATAGATATTGACAAGTAACTGATGACTGCTCTGAGTGGCAATATATTCTGAAATGTGATTGCACTGTTACCTTGCACTGATTTAGTGTACAATATAGAATAAAGCAGCACAATGCCATGACTGGAACAATATGCAAATAACTGGCACAAAAGTGTCAATAACACTGCTTAGTAGGCCATAGTTTTTGCCACCCAACATTTAGTGAATTACTAGGCCTCATACCCTGATAACCAGAATTGTGGCTAAAATGTTATACCAGCAGTAGCAGTCTAGGATGCCAGCAGTAGAATTGGCATCTGATACCTTGATAAGCTTTTCCAATGCCTCACTGGCTCACTATTCTGGTGACCAACCAAGAGTAAACCCAATACACACACACACATTAATTAGTGTTTATGCCATTTTCTAGGAGATACTGTACTATAATGCTTTGCAGGAGGCTTCAAATAATACTTACCTCCCAATCATGGTGTCCTATGCAAGTTAGGAGAAGATGAAGAACCTGTAGTGACCCCAATCCTTGGTCAGGTTGCTCTACCATTACTTCCACTAAGGTCTCTCCCAGCTCTGAGAAAATCCTAAAAATACACACATAAGAAATGAAGCAAAATACATACATCCTAAGCAAAAGTAAAAATGTCAAATACTGCATGAAACTTGGAGTATCAAGTCAAAACATTCATAATGAATTTAAACTTTAAAAAGCAAAACAAAATAAACAGAGCCTCCCGACAGTTTCAGTGTTTGTATCACAAAGATCTAATTTACAAGCAATATGGAACCATTAAGTCCATATTCTTTAGTCAAGACAGCTAGTGAATGTGTTCTTTCTTTGGGTCACCTTGTCTTGGGTGATTATACCTCATGTGGCAAAAATCTTAATACAGTAAATCCTCAATTTAAGAGATTTCAGAACTAAGGACAAAATCCACTGGGTCCACCATTTGAAAAAACAAAATCCATTTGTTACATAACCATCCATTACTGTTACAATCATGGCAAAACACTATCTCTCTCCACCACAATCACCATTACCAGCCACCTGCTCCACCCAATTAGCCTTAAATCAGGAGTTTATTGGACTTTCAGCACATACTAAAAAGTATAGCTTACCTTGCATAATTCGTTATTGCATTAATATCCTCCATAGCCACTGCCATGTGGTATGGCTCACCAAGCTGCAAGACACCTGCAAAAAGTACCTCTGCCAGGGGCTGGATTCTCTCTGCCTCTAACATGATCATTGCAGAGCACACACAGTCTGTTGCTATTTCATGTAGCCTATAAAAAATCTTCAGTTACAAAAATGTTCACCTATGATGTTAATTTTTGTAATACAGTATAAAAAGCATCATAATTATTAAATGTATAGACAATTTATTAGGACTCTTTAAACTTCAAAATACATGAATGATCCTAAGGGCACTGTATACATTTCTATCAAGAGAATACATCACAATATGAAAACTAAAGGAAAAAATACTCTTTAGCTCTTACCTGGGTGAGACCTGAGGATTTCTAACAACATTTAGTATGTCACTGACAAGGCAGGTGTTAGTAAGCATGACCCATTCTTCTGTGTGGATGTTGAACCAAGAGGCCATGCAACGTAACGCCTTCAGGTGTGTACTCTCTTTGGTGGCTCCTTCTGTACTTACACCAACATGCTGACAACAAAAAAATATCAACTTAATATCAACTATTCAAATTATAAATTTCTATAAAGAACTATAACAAAAACTAACTTCTTTAATTTTACATTAACTGTTGTTCATTAACAGCCAGTTTACACTAACTTCCATCAAGTGGGGAAGGTTTGTAGATGAATGGTTCAGAGAACCGACATGTTGATAAATTAGACACATGTGCAACTCTTGGGTATCTTTATTGAGGAAACGTTTCGCCACACAGTATCTTCATCAGTCCATACAAAGGCGAATCTTGAAGAACAGGAGGAGAATGAGGTAATCAGTCCCTCAACCTTGAGTCGATGTGGTCAGTCCATCAATCTTGAATAGAATACGGCATACGTGCGGAGGAGCTTATAAACCGTAGGCAGGAGAGGTGCAGCAGTCATAGGTGGTGTCACATTTGTTCAATGTGGAAGTAGGTCATGCCCAAGAATTAGGCAAGTGAAGAATTCCCAAGTATTAAGATCCCAAGAAGTTGCAGTGTTGAGGGACTGATTACCTCATTCTCCTCCTGTTCTTCAAGATTCGCCTTTGTATGGACTGATGAAGCCACTGTGTGGCAAAACTTTTCCTCAATGAAGATACCCAAGAGTTGCACATGTGTCTAATTTATCAACATGTCGGTTCTCTGAACCATTCATCTACAAACTTGTCAGACACTGCAACTTCTTGGGATCTTAATACTTGGGAATTCTTCACTTGCCTAATTCTTGGGCACGACCTACTTCCATATTGAACAAATGTGACACCACCTATGACTGCTGCACCTCTCCTGCCTACGGTTTATAAGCTCCTCCGCACGTATGCCGTATTCTATTCAAGATTGATGGACTGACCACATCGACTCAAGGTTGAGGGACTGATTACCTCATTCTCCTCCTGTTCTTCAAGATTCGCCTTTGTATGGACTGATGAAGCCACTGTGTGGCGAAACGTTTCCTCAATAAAGATACCCAAGAGTTGCACATGTGTCTAATTTATCAAGTGGGGAAGGTATTAGACTAGACAATATAAAGATGCATGAAATGTACTACTGCTATTGCCTCGCTTCACTCCCCTCTCTGTCTCTTCTGCCACTACCACTATTCCCTCTACCTACTGCTACTATGACTACCACTTCCACTATCATAATACTACTACTTCTCCACTTCTTTGTTCCTCTCTCTCTCTATCCCATTCTTGTCCTCCTCTCCTATACATACTGACTCCCTCACTATGTGTTAGTGACTAATCAATGGTCCAAGTCAGACCGAAACATCATAAGCTTCTTTCTCCTATGTGCAGGTTATTTGTGTACTGGCAGGAACTGCATATTCAGTGATGCCCACACTTTCAAAATACTTTCTATACAGGGACATCCAAGAAACATAGCATGTTATAAATAAACACCCACACCAGCATCTCCACTTACTGGACTTAAAGTGACTTGCCATGCAAAATGTAAATTCATCATTTATTCATTCATGGCTCATACACCACCCAAATTCCACTGACTGCCATTTTCCATTTTTTTTTTTACACACACACCAAATTTCCATGCACAACCTGCCCATCATTTTAACTTTCTAAAGAATAAAAAGGCATAATACCATGACTGGAACAATGCACGAAACTTGCAGAGAGGAAAAAGAAACTTATGATGTTTCAGTCTGGCTTGAACCATTAACTGAACACACACTAACAAGCCACTATACACATGTACTGGCTCCCTTACTTTCATGTGTGACTAGTCAATGGTCCAAGTCAGACCAAAACGTCGTCGTAAGTTTCTTTCTCTGCTGAGTTATTTGTGTATTTAACTTTCTACTTTCCAAGTCAATATTATACATTAATCACTAAGAGCAATTCATGTTCCTCATTTTGTTCATTTCTACAAATTTAACCAATTACATTCACCCCACACCTCTCCCCAACACCCATGCATTTAATTCTTTTACAACAACCACATATCCCTGTCTAAGGCCTAGTTTCACTGGAAAATAATCCTCTTCTCTCCTACATACCCTAACCTGAACCTAAATCTCCACATAAAAAATACTGATTTTAACAATAAATTAAATTTATTAAATTAAATTTATTAAATTTATTTAACAATAAATTAATAAAAATCGAAAAGCAGTAATACTACTGGCAATAAAAAATTTTATTTATATATTTTGCACCAGGAAACTTTCCACACTGCTAAATTTTGCCACTGTGTTGCATAATATCAGTCAGAGTACCAGTGACAAATTCTGACTTGAATTTCTTCAACTATATGGAGGAAGCAATTTTTTGTTTTTGACACGTCGGCCGTCTCCCACCGAGGCAGGGTGATCCAAAAAGAAAGAAAAAACTTTCATCATTCAACACTTTCACCATCACTCATACATAATCACTGCCTTTGCAGAGGCACTCAGATACAACAGTTTAGACATCCCTCCAAACTGCCAATGTCCTAAACCCCTCTTCCCATTTCCAGGACTCAAGTCCGGCTAACCGGTTTCCCTGAATGAGGAAGTAAATGTGTTCAGATATTTGGGAGTGGACTTGGTGGATGGGTATATGAAAGATGAGGTGAACCACAGCACTGATGAAGAAAAAAGAGGGGAGTGGTGCACAGAGGTCTCTGTGGAAACAAAATGTTATCCATGGAGCCAAGGAGGACAATGTATGAGAGTATAGTGGTACCAACACTCTTGTATGGGTGTGAAGCATGGGTTGTGAATGTTGCAGCGAGGAGAAAGCTGGAGGCAGTGGAGATGTTGTGTCTGAGGGCAATGTGTGGTATAAATATGCAGAGAATTAACAGCTTGGAGATTAAGAGGTGTGAAGTTACTAAAAGTATTATCTGGGGAGACTGAGTAGGGGCTGGAGAGGTAGTCTGGATATTTAGAGAGGGTGGAGTAAAATAGGATGACTTGCAGAGCACACAAATCTATAGTGAAAGGAAGGTGGGGTAAGGGCAGCCCTAGGTCAGGATGGAGGGGGGAGGGGGGGTAAAGGTTTTTTTATGCAAGGGGCTTGGACATCCAGCAGGCGTATGTAAGTGTCAGATAGAAATGGAGGCAAATAGTTTTTGGGACTTGATAAGCTGTTGGAGTGTGAGCTCGGTAACATTCATGAAAACTCTTTAGCCAGAGTCGAGTCCTGTGTGAGAAGTATAGTGCCTGCATGTGAATATTTGCAATTTGGAGGGGCATCTGGACTGTAGTATTGGCATGCATCTGGCAAGACAGTACTGGAGTGAATGATGGTGAAAGTGTTTCTTTTTTGGGCCACTTTACCTTGGTGGGAGACAGCCAGTGTATTAAAAAAAAAAATTAAATATGGTCCAAATCATGTCTTAACACTTTTTCTTTCTTGCTAAATGCCATCATACTGCATGAATAATTAAATTTAGAGGGCATCAAAACTGCAGTAGTGGCACAATGTCAGTTGTAGAAGTGAAAGAACTTACCAGTAATTCTACTATACTAGGAACTTTCCTTCTGAAGTAATCATCAAGCTGCTTTCTTCTGTTTAATCCTAATCGTAACTGTCTGGAATGGAGTTCTTCAGGAAGTGCTATCAGGACTTCCAGTAAAGGAACTAAGTTTGGAGTGTTAGACATAGGTCCAAACTGAGTTATTAAATCCCCTGAAAATAAAAAAAGGTGTCATTAAATATACTGCTGACAGGATAGGAGGCCCATTTTTTATGGAGCCATCTGTGGTAATATACAGTATTTCACGAATGTATAGCTAGTAATACGTGGTACCCAAGTTTAGTCTCCATGGTGAATGAGAAAAATTTTATATGAACATTTTTTTTAATTTATTATTTCTACAATCTAGCTAACAAGATTAGGAGAGTAATTACTGTTAAGCTAACAAGTAAGCAAATACACCACCAACAGGCATAAACAATGTGTATAGTTGAACAATGAAAAACACACTACAAAAAAAAAAAATATGAACAAAAACAATTTATACATCATACCCAAGGTCTAGAACTTAAAATGAAAGTCATTCCTGCCATAATACTTACTGAACAAGACTTCCTGCCATTTTTCAATTTTCCTTCTAGTCCTTCAAGTCATGATCCTCCTCCAAGGCAGACTGAGAATCTAAAGTAGACAGCAAATGAAGATCCAGCTACTCCAGCTATCAGGAAGATAGATGTGAGGCTTGTGTGGAGGTCCACAGTGAGCACAGGACTTGTAACAGCACAGTACGAGTCCCACTGGAGATCACCACAAGGTCAACATTTTCCTAGCTTTTTGACCCATCAGTAAAGACCTTAGGGTTCCCCATCTACTGCCTACAAAGACAACCTCAGGCACTGTTCAACAAGGGAAGAGAAAGAAGTTAAAATCTCTGATCACAGTCACTGAGGCCACTATCCTGGGCAGCAGACAGCATCAATACACCAAACAGCACAGCAACCCCCCACATGATGAGCAAAGGACTCATTCACAAAGCCTCAGCATAAGCTGAGCTGCAAAGTGTATACCAAACCCAAAACAGGTAATGCAGCCCTAGCTCCTCATAGTAGAGATCTAGGGAAGGCTCACCAGGCTAAAAACAGGCTCGATGGGGAATTTGGACAAGACTTAGCAAGTACAGCCAAGAAAAGCTGGCTGAGAGAGACTCCAGACTCCTCCACTGTATTAAGATGACCAAGCATCTTGGGGGTTCATTCCACTCAAATGTAATTTATTTTATTACAATAACAATTCCATGAATCTTTAAGCCTTTTTTTTTAAAAGACTAAGTCAATTTTCAAGAAACAAACAATGCCATTTTAATATATGCATGCTACTTTTCAGTATGCTAATTCATCACCAAGATTTTTTCTAAAGACAATTCTGATAGACAAAACTAACTTCCAAAGTTGTCATCAAAGGAAAATGTCATACAACAGGACCACCACCAAACCACATCATAGCTTAAGTGTTTCAGTATTATCATATTCATTTAGGAATTTTGAAAAATCATCTACACTAAAAAAAAAAGGGGAGGGGGGAAGGAAAATTTACTCACCGATAGGATCTTCCCAGGATGCCATATGTAGGGCCAAATCAGCCAAAGCCACACAGAGCTGGGTAGCAATACCCTGGTATGTATGCTCGGTGATATGACCAAGATGCTCCAACATGGAAGCTCTGAGGGATGCATGGGCCTCCACTGGCAGCTCACCAAAATACAACTGAAATATTTAAAATGTTAACGTTACATCTGCTAGCGACACATACCATGTGCTTTTATCTATAAGATTTACCTTTCACTATTATAATTTAAAGAGACTGCATAGATAGAACTTAGTACTGATGAACTCTCATAACCATAGAAGCTGCTTACTCTTAAAATATATAAGAGGTGCTCCTTGACTTATGATATTTCAATTTTATGATGGCGCAAAATTATCCAGCATGAATGCAGCAAGTCCATAACTTTTACTCATTTATTTTTCAATACTGGTATTAGTTACAGTAATTATTTGTTTACTTATTCAGTGACAGTCATTTACTTATTTATTTCACATATATTCGTATTCGACTTACGATGGGTTTGTCAGAATGTAACCCCCTCGTAAGTCGAGCACCAGTATTCTATACAAAAACATCAAAGGAGATTAAGTTATGTGAAAATACAGTAACTATGCTGCACACAAAATTAATGTATATCCCATGTACAGAAGGATTTAACCCTTAAATTGCTGCAGGGCTAAAAATAAAAAAACTACTGAAACGATCCACTAAATTTTGACATTCACATCACAGGCACTTTCTGCTATGACGTGAACTCGCACTATCACTGATACTTTTGCTCACTCCTAATCTATACTGTAACACATGGTACTATACCTGTATTTTGGTACGAAGCGTCTGTGCAGCGAAAAAGCACGAGTTGACATCACGCTTTGCATGTAGCAACTGATCTGCTACCTTCCAAGCTTGTACCTGAATGCACAAAATTGCAACATTAACATTACATATAACAAGCAACACATAATTTTTTTTTTGACATTCTATGAAGCACAATTCCAAAAAAAAAAAAAAAATCCAAGAGGCCTGGTGTATTTCATCTTTTGGAAATTTGCTACCTCATACACACAACTTTGTTGCTCTTTCAACACTGGCCAGTCACACTGAGTGAACAAATTCACTGAGGCTTATTCAATGACAGTATAAAAAGTAGATTATACTATAACAGTAGATAAAAATTAAGCTAAAACATGTAATGGTCCATTTTTTTCAAATTACATCACTTTTATCTATACTGTATTCAAATTAATTTATATTTCCAATGATAACAGTTCTAAAGAACCTGAATATTATTCATAATATAGAGCCAGATCTAGGTAGTAGGTTGGTAGACAGCAACCGCCCAGGGAGGTACTACCGTCCTGCCAAGTGAGTGTAAAACGAATCCTGTAACTGTTTTACATGATGGTAGGATTAATGGTGTCCTTTTTCTGTCTCTTAAACATGCAAGATTTCAGGTACGTCTTGCTACTTCTACTTTCACTTAGGTCACACTACACATACATGTACAAGCATATATATACACACACCCCTCTGGGTTTTCTGCTATTTTCTTAATAGTTCTTGTTCTTGTTTATTTCCTCTTACCTCCATGGGGAAGTGGATAAGAATTCTTCCTCCATAAGCCATGCATGTTGTAAGAGGCAACTAAAATGCTGGGAGCAAGGGCCTAGTAACCCCTTCTCCTGTATAAATTACTAAATGTAAAAAGAGAAACTTTTGTTTTTCTTTTTGGGCCACCCTGCCTTGGTGGGATATGGCCGATTTGTTCAAAGGAAAAAAAAAAAAAAAAAACTAGAGCCAGATGTACATTTACCTATGAGATTAACATACATGAATGCATACATGAATAATAGTAAAAGACATTAACTGTGAAAGTGGCAACCAACTTCATTGTCACAGTATGGAGCAACTATAACACTGGCCCATGGCTGGGCTCCGAGAGTAGTGAGACTCTCGAAAATCATCAAAGGTATATCAAAGGTATATCTCTCAGGATACGTAGCCATTATAACACCGTCAGGGTATGGAGCAACCATAACACCATCAGGGTACGGAGCAGCTATAACACCGTCAGGGTACGGAGCAACTATAACACCATCAGGGTACAGAGCAACTATAACATCGTCAGGGTACAAAGCAACTAACACCATCAGGGTACAGAGCAACTATAACACCATCAGGGCACTGAGCAACTATGACCCTGTCAGGGTATGGAGCAACTAACGCTGTCAGGGACTAGATAAAAAAAAAAAAAAATTATGCAAAAACAATTTATCAGGTTAAATCAATTCTTGCCAATAGTTTTACAAAGTGCATATATGGGATAACTTTGCCAGTATCAAAATATGTATCAGATTTTTCTTGACATTTGTGTTATCCTAGGTAATTTACACATATTAAACAATGTATAATAATTGTACTCGTGTACCTGTACCTAAATAAATTTACTTATTTAACCTCTTCAAATGGTAATTTTACTATAATAAATGATACTCTATGGCGGGTTTCATGTTGTCAATATTTACTTACTTTCCAGGGGAGAGTAAGAATAAATGAGAAATTCTCTAAAATTAATGGGGCTGTGAACTAAGAGATAATTTTATTGTCAAATGCAAAAAAGTTATCAAAACCTAATGTACTCTAACCTCATGTAACTCAACATTCCTTAACACAATGTAATGTAGAATAACAATGGTATTCACACTGTTGAGAACAAAATAACATGTTTTTGCATTGAGAAAGGTGTGTAAGGCAGTGGTGGTTCAGGGTGCAGCTAAAAATGAAATGTTGAGTCGTTATATCACCATCATGTGGCTGCATTCCTAAACGTATTATGACTATCTCGATAAATATCAATTTATGAAACAAACAAGTGTGTTTCCTATGGTATGGATAGTACTGTGATTATTTATAATATGAAATATTGACAGGGTTCTGTTCCACAGAGTAAATATTGACCAAAAAAGACAAGGATCCCAATAGAAAGAAGTCACTATGACTTTTTTCTGGGTTATCCCTTGTAATTTACACTATGTACAATAATTGTACTTGTGTACCTGTGCCTAAATAAATTTACTTCATGTTAAAATTGATAATTATTGATATAATAAATTTATAAACTGGATGTCTCAAGCATATAGATATACAACGGTTAAATTATTTCTTTACATAGAAAAGCCCAACATTATCGAAGAATACTACTGCATTAGTTAAAGGATACAAGTGATTGTAGTACGTATAATAATGAGTACAAGACAAGTCTGGTGGTATTACACAAATACCCCGCACACAGGAAAAAGTATGCTTGTTTAGGTATACATACACGAGTACAAGTTATCATACAAAGTAATGTATGTGTATATTACCTAGGATAAACCAAAGCGACTTATTTCTACTGGGGTCCCTGTAATATCTTAGTATAATGTTTCAGTCCTACTTGAACTATTATTTGTTACTAGCTAGTTAGTTTGTTTATGTATAGGTACACAAATTATCATACATAGTAATATGTGTAAATTACCCAGGAAAACTCTTCAAAAAAGTTAAGTGAATTTAAGCATATGTTACTATGTATAACTCAACTTGTGTGTACCTGTAACTAAATAAACTTACCTACTAGATACAGATAATGGTCTAAGTAGGACTGAAACATTATTACAAGGGACTCCCAGTGGAAATAAGTAACTCTGACCATATGGGAGGTTACTTGTGTGTTGTTCTAGTGAGGAAAACTGTTTTTAACTGTCTGAAGTGGTTTATTGTCGTAGTTATGTTAGATGTAGTGTCTCTGCTGGGTTGGTAGCACACTCAGCTCACATACTGAGGTCACTGGTTCGATCCCCGGTATAGGTGGAAACATTAGGCGTTTCCTTAAGACATCTGCTGTCCCTGTTCACCTAGCAGTAAAATAGGTACCTGGGTGTTAGTGGACTGGTGTGGGTCACATCCTGAGGACAAAATTAACCTAATTTGCCTGAAATGCTCTGCATAACAAGGGACTTTCTACATAGTATGTCACTGATGTCAGCTATGGGCTGTATACCTTGTATCACGTACTTGTAGAAATACCAGCAGCACGATCCCATAGCTCGATTGGTAGTGCACTCAACTCACATAGTAAGGTTCGGAGTTCGAACCTGCGGTACAGCCGGAAAACATTAGAACGTGTTTCCATAAGACACCTGCTGTCCCTGTTCATCCATCAGTATAAAATAGGTACCTGGGTGTTAGTGGACTGGTGTGGGTCGCATCCTGGTACAAAACTGACCTAATTTCCTCGAAATGCTCAGTATAACAAGTGGCTTTCTATATATGTCATTATGTCAGGTATGGTCTGTATACCTTGTATGATGTACTTGTAGAAATACAGGTTATTTATTATTAAGATAGGCCTAAGTTTGCCCGAAATGCTCTAAACACTAAGGGGCTTTCTGCCAGCAAACATAAATATTAAAGAACGAGATATTTATAACACGTAAAACATCCCTCATCTCTATATAAACACTACATCATGCTAGAATAAAATAAACATCATTATAGGGATGATTATTACAAGTATAATAATACTGACCGATCTCTGGAGGTGTCCTAGCCATTTTGATGCCTGGTCGTGCTTGATCTTATCGTGTAGCTCAGCGTCGTACAGCGTGCTGACGGCAGCCAACACCTCGTTGATGTCCACCTCCATCTTAGCATAGTCTTGGTGGTTGTTGTGTGTTAAAATAGGTAAAGTAGGAGGTAGGAAACATGAGCGGCGCCACTACCATAGTCCACCACGGCCGCCACTACCACTGACGCCACCCACTTGTCTTTCTCTTGTATCCTCTCTTATCTCCACTATTCTGCTACTTATCCTGGTTCTAGTGATGTGTTATAGCTGCTGCTGGCCGCATGTACAGCCTCCAAGCTTTACAAGCAGAGGAATACACATCCTCCGCCATAAAACACATCACAAACAAGTTGGACAAAATTCTGGAGTGACTCCTAACGACTGGACAGCAACTACAGGCATAAATTTTTTACCTCCTCCATATATCTAACTCACTTCTAACTCAATTCTATCTAACCTCCATGCCTTTTTAATAACCTATAAATCTTATATTCACTCAACCCTAAACGTATATATCACAACTTTGTCTTTAACTTCACTCAAAAAAAAATATATTTATTATTTCCAACTTTCTAAATATTTTCTATATTTGGAAGTTGCATAATGGCATGTGAACCATAAATTTATTTTATGCAATTTTAATTAATTAAATCATTAATATTACTCACATGTGCGATTCCATATGTATTGGAGCCAGATATCATTACCTAAAACTTGCTTCATGAAACAATAAATATAACAAAAAAAAGATCCAGTAATTACAGCAAAATAATTATACATCACTAACAAAGCAAAAATTCATGTGATATATTAAAGTAACGCAAAGAATGTCAAAGACCGAGGTGAAAATTGGTAATAACCCGGCGATGGCTGATCAACTCCCGCCATTGTATAAATTATATCAACCCATTATAATGTATCATACTCATCCATTTATGGATTTTTACCTTTCCATTTAACTGGGGACGACTGCCAGAGATCTGGAAGACAGCGAATGTAGTCACAATATTTAAGAAAGAAGACAGACAGCAAGTACTGAAAAAAAAGCCGAAAAAACTGAAATCACTAATTTCTCTTGGTATTCATGAATAATTTTAGTAAATAAATGCATTTTCTGACACGATATCATTATTTCCAGGTAAATTGTGAACACTCTCTGCAAGGTAACTGTGAAATATTACAGTGATTAATCGTATCCAGATATTAAAGGGGAGACTTGTATAAAGTACATTGTGTTGATTTATAGTCTGAGGTGTCAGAGTAGAGGTCAGGGAGAGTTGTGGTCAGGTCTCAGTGTCCTCCTACAAGCTGAGGTGAGAGGTACTACTGTTTCTGGGGCACTATATTTATATCCTTTCAATTCTACGCCTTTTTAGAGAGCACAGATTTAAAGGCTGTCAGTCAGTCTGAGTTCATTACCTTTGTAACTTGTTCAGCTATCATAACTTTGGGGTCCAGTCCCTGGACCCATTATGTACCTCTGTAATCTTATAACTACCACCCACAGGATGGGTATGGGGTGTATGATAAATATATTAAACTATATAATTAACTCTGTCTTCGTAGGAAAGATTTCTGATACATGGGGTCAACTTTGTCATCCTCCACTGTATGTTTTCCAGCAGATTTGTGTACTGCTGTTGTGAAGTATCAGTTAGATGTCGGTGACGCTGTAGGGGCCTTACTAAAGAGGAGCCCAGCATCATCCAGGAGCCCACCATTATACAGGAGCCTAGCGTCATCCAGGAGCCCACCATTATACAGGAGCCTAGCGTCATCCAGGAGCCCACCATTGTACAGGAGCCTAGCATCATCTAGGAGCCCACCATTATACAGAAACCTAGCATCATCCAGGAGCCACCATTATACAGGAGCCTAGCATCATCCAGAAGCCACCATTATACAGAAACCTAGCATCATCCAGGAGCCCACCATGCTACAGCAACCGCACCTCAACGCCAGTAGCTTCAGGTATTTATTTTAATAGTGGGAAAGCGCTAAATCCATAGGGGGGTCATACAGTGCCTGGGGAACGGTTTTTGAAGGGCCTCAACTTAATAAGGCTTCTCAGCCCTATCATGTCTGGCTATATATGAGGGATGACCAGGGGCGGATCTACTATGGCGCCTCTAACCCGGGAGGGGCCCCAGAAGCAATACTTGTGTCTAATTCTTCAAACTTGATTGAGTTTTGCTAAAGTTTATTAAGTGGAAAGCGTGTAGTATTTACTGGCTTGCGTAATGGAGAAAGTTATACCCAGAGCAATAGTAGACGTCTCAATGATATTCATTTACACTTGTAAACTATAAATTCATTTACGTTGGCTGGAGTATACCTGGAGAGGATTTCGGGGGCCAACGCCCCCGCGGCTCGGTCTATGACCAGGCCTCATGGTGGATCAGGGCCTGATCAACCAGGCTGTTACTTCGATACTGACCTTAATAGCAATAATTTCTTTTATTTGCTAGGTTTCGTGACGGTGCAAGGCTAATGGTGGCAGTGGAGGAATGGGCTCCTCATGTGCTCATCTCTGGGGATGATCCTCACAACTTAATCATCCTCGGCCCCATGGCTAATCTTCTTCAAATCCTCGCACACACTATCAATTTTACGTGAGATTCTGTTTTTTGTTTTTTTTACATATGTGTAAAAATAGTAGTCGTTCAGCTCTTGGACCCCAATGGAAATAAGTCACTGACTTTCTTGGGTTATCCTAGATTCTCTACACAAACGCTGCTATATATGATAATCTATGTAACTGTATGTGTTTACCTGAACGTCAAAATGGTATACAATACCGACAGGTTGGTAGGTAAGACACATAGGCAACAGTTAGGCAACTTTATTCCGAAACGTTTCGCCTACACAGTAGGCTTCTTCAGTCGAATACAAAAAGTAGGCAGGAACAGTAGAGATGTGAAGACGATGTAATCAGTCCATCACCCTTGAAGTCGTAGAATTTTGAGGTTGTCAGTCCCTCGGCCTGGAGAAGTTCAGTTCCATAGTCAGGAAGTTCCTTCTCCAGGCTGAGGGACTGACAACCTCAAAATTCTACGACTTCAAGGGTGATGGACTGGTTACATCGTCTTCACATCTCTACTGTTCCTGCCTACTTTCTGTATTCGACTGAAGAAGCCTACTGTGTAGGTGAAACGTATAAATTAATTAATCGCATAAATTAATCTTGAAAAGCATAAATTAATCAACGAATCTCAGCATGGTTTTACAAAGGGGCGTTCCTGCCTTACGAATTTATTAACTTTTTTCACTAAGGTATTTGAGGAGGTAGATCATGGTAATGAATATGATATTGTGTATATGGACTTCAGTAAGGCTTTTGACAGGGTCCCACATCAGAGACTATTGAGGAAAATTAAAGCACATGGAATAGGAGGAGAAATTTTTTCCTGGATAGAGGCATGGTTGACAAATAGGCAGCAGAGAGTTTGCATAAATGGGGAGAAATCAGAGTGGGGAAGCGTCACGAGCGGTGTTCCACAGGGGTCAGTGTTGGGCCCCCTGCTGTTCACAATCTACATAAACGACATAGATGAGGGCATAAAAAAGCGACATCGGCAAGTTTGCCGATGACACCAAAATAGGCCGTCGAATTCATTCTGACGAGGACATTCGAGCACTCCAGGAAGATTTGAATAGACTGATGCAGTGGTCGGAGAAGTGGCAGATGCAGTTTAATATAGACAAATGCAAAGTTCTAAATGTTGGACAGGACAATAACCATGCCACATATAAACTAAATAATGTAGATCTTAATATTACTGATTGTGAAAAAGATTTAGGAGTTCTGGTTAGCAGTAATCTGAAACCAAGACAACAGTGCATAAGTGTTCGCAATAAAGCTAATAGAATCCTTGGCTTCATATCAAGAAGCATAAATAATAGGAGTCCTCAGGTTGTTCTTCAACTCTATACATCCTTGGTTAGGCCTCATTTAGATTATGCTGCACAGTTTTGGTCACCGTATTACAGAATGGATATAAATTCTCTGGAAAATGTACAAAGGAGGATGACAAAGATGATCCCATGTATCAGAAACCTTCCCTATGAGGATAGACTAAGGGCCTGAAACTGCACTCTCTAGAAAGACGTAGAATTAGGGGGGATATGATTGAGGTGTATAAATGGAAGACAGGAATAAATAAAGGGGATGTAAATAGTGTGCTGAAAATATCTAGCCTAGACAGGACTCGCAGCAATGGTTTTAAGTTGGAAAAATTCAGATTCAGGAAGGATATAGGAAAGTACTGGTTTGGTAATAGAGTTGTGGATGAGTGGAACAAACTCCCAAGTACCGTTATAGAGGCCAGAACGTTGTGTAGCTTTAAAAATAGGTTGGATAAATACATGAGTAGATGTGGGTGGGTGTGAGTTAGACCTGATAGCTTGTGCTAACAGGTCGGTTGCCGTGTTCCTCCCTTAAGTTAATGTGACCTGACCTGACTAGGTTGGGTGCATTGGCTTAAGCCGGTAGGAGACTTGGACCTGCCTCGCATGGGCCAGTAGGCCTTCTGCAGTGTTCCTTCGTTCTTATGTTCTTATGTTCTTATGAATAAAGTTGCCTAACTGTTGCCTATATGTATTTACCTGAATCAAGTTACTTGCTAAAGGACTTTCAGCGAGGAGAAAGATTCTCCCTGTATTGTCTACAATGCTTTGACACTTTGAGAGCGAATTCTGCATTCCCACTGAGAGATAAGTCAGGTTATTAGAATGATAAATGAGACACTCGTGCAACATTTGGGTATCTACTGAGGGAACGTTTCGCCACAGACTTCATCAGTCCAATACAAGGGAAAATTGGACTGGTGAAGCCACAGTGTGGGGAATCATTCCTAAATAATGATACCCAGATCTTGAATTTGTGTCTAATTTGACTCACGAAATCGTAATGACACGATTGCAAACAAACCATACCACGGGTGGGGATAGAACCCGCGGTCAGAGAGTCTCAAAACTCCAGACCGTCGCGTTAGCCACTGGACCAGCTAGCCACAATAAGATTCATCCAACTCGGTATATTTCTACACCATAGGAAGGTTAGCATATGCACCATTGTGACCACAAATGCAAGTTTTTACAGACGACTCTCCTAGTTGGGTGAATCTTATTGTTGCTAGCTGGCCCAGTGGCTAACGCGACGGTCTGGAGTTTTGAGACTCTCTGATCGCGGGTTCAGTCCCCGCCTGTGGTACGGTTTGTGTCTAATTTATCATGTGGGTTCTCTGAACCATTTATCTAGTCCTCCATACCTCCCAACGCCAGACGGAAGACAGCCATGAACCTAATCGTGATTTTATGGAAAGTTGTCGTTCTTTAACATGAACTAATATGGTCGCCAACGGTGTCCAAGTTACCCAGACATTACTG